TATCGTTGGTATCAGAATTGGTTAAAGAACAAGGATTCGATTATCAAAAGTTATGGAAAGAGGTATGTGATATTCTTACACTTGATGTTCACTTTTATAACACGTGTTTCCTGACTTGCCAATGAAATTACCAACCAATCAATCACAGATGGTTCCGGTGGGTAATTTAGCATTTATCATGGATTGTTATTTTAAACATACAAAAAACTAAAAAATTTTTCGCCTCGCAGCATTTGGGAAATCTTTTTAGCCTGGTCGACCATAATCTCCCGTCAGGGTAGCGCCACATGTTATCAAATTGTAGCTCACAAGAACACGAACTTATTCGATCGTGCCGCAATAATTCCACAAAGATTTGTCGCTTAAAAAAAAACAACAACAAATATCATCATTTTTTTTTTTTTTTTTTTTTTTAATTTATGATAAACTTAATTGTAACACATTTGAGCTATAAAATTTGCCCGCAAATAATAAAAATTATATGTATCTGTTGAACTGCATGTCTCAAGGACAGGAATAATTTTTTACTAATATTCATCCTTCGAGAACAAGCTGAAATTGTTACTATTAATTATTGTCTATGTTCGAATTAATATATAAATAAATAATACGCACATTATTTTCTCCAATCTAAAATTCAAATTCATCTCGAAATTGTTCAGCATCAGCACCATTTTTAAGTTTCTCACATAAATCATCTCGTCCCTATCATATTCATAAAAAAGTGGTTAGGATAAATAAATGAATAAATCAATTTTAAGGTGAAAAAACGTTGATACAAACCATTAGTTGAAATGCTTTCGCCAAGATTTCTCGGAGACTAACACTGGCGTTTTTCATTCCATCACTGTTCGTACCCACATGATGCATACTTAGCGCGCCGAGTAGATGTTCGGCCGCCTCTCGATAACACTTAATATTTAAACAGCTAACCCCTAAATTGAAACGTGCGCGAACATACGTGGGTTTCAACTCCAGGGCTTTATAGTAAGCCTCGATGGCATCTTCAGAACGACCGGAATTGGCTAGTGTGGCACCTAAGCGATTCCACAATTGGTAATCCTATCGAAGCAAGCACGCATGATGAATGGTTAAATAATTGAGCGCGAAGATTCGAATAAAAGTTAATGATCATTATTTACATCTTTTCGAACGTTTAGTGCGGACAAGAAACAATCAATTGCTTTTTCGTGCTCTCCGCCACTATAATAGAGAACGCCCAACCCAACTTGAACGTCCGGATCCATCTCTTGCCCTTCTGGTGCACTTCGAGCGGCTTGCAGAAAGAGATCTGTGACTCGTGTATGAGTGTCCACGGTCCTGTCCATCGGTACGGCAGCGGTTACCACATCGGGGTACTTTATGGCGAGCCACCTTTCGAGAGTAAGACATGCTTCGTAGTCGCGCCTATCGTTAGTATAGCTGACTGCAAGGCTCTTTTCGGTGATAGAATTTTTTTTTTCGCAGTTAATCATTTGCACAGTTGAACCAAAACATACATCATCACGGCTTTGAACATAATCTTCTCATACCATTAGAGCAGGTAGATTCGAACCGTTTAATTCAACGGACTTCTCTAAAGCCTTGATTGCGGCTTCTTCCTTTTCATTTTGAGCTTGGGTATTTCCCAATAACATCCATGCATCAGAATCATTGTTGTCCTTCTGAACCGCCATCTCAAATGCCAAAGCTGCTTCGGATAATGAGCCACCATTTTCCATTAATTTTAAACCTTCATGCAGAGGGTCCGGATGATCAAGAAAGATATTATTCGATTCGAATTCATACTCCTCGAATTCATACTCCTCAAATGATAAATCTCGACCTTCATTGAGGTACTTGTAAAAACCCTCTTCCCATGAAATATTTGTTAAGTCGTTGATATTATTTTTTGATGCCCAAATTTTTTCGAATTCATAAAAATATCCCTTATCTTCTGCGTCATCATCGGTTGTTTTTTGTGCATCATCTGCTTCACGTAATACTGCCTTAAATTGTTCTTCCCAACTTTGAGAATCAATCTCAAAAATTTTTTCTTTCCCCTTTCCCTTATCATTGGTAATATTAAAATTTTTTTCAAACGCCTCTTCAAACTCTGGAGGCATTTCCATAAAAGGGGTTATAGAAATACCAGGGTTTTGCAAAAATTCGGTGTTCCAATTATCTTGACATAAATGTTAGATAGACGTCAGCATAAACGAATATCAATGGAGAAAAAGATTTTGTACGTGTTACACTTGAAATATACCATGAGTATTCATTCTTTTAAAAGCAAGCTCCATTTCTGCTTCTTCGGCTGCCTCCAATGACCACAGATTTGGGTCATGGCGAAAGTTTCCGAAATCCGAAATCCAATCTAGGGATCGAAAGAATATAATGAGATCCATTGGCTAAATTTTTAGATATACTTTGAATACCCATAAATACCATTTGCTCTAGGATCTACGATATTAGGGATGTGCGGCATGGCACTCGGTAGAGGAGGGTAATCTCTTTGGTCAAAGAACTGTTGGGCAAACTAATGGTGACAAGTTTGTCAATAAAAACGATCCGACTTGGCGGTGGTTAAAAACATCCGCGCATAATGAAATACCTTGTCATCTTGTATATTCGTATCGGGTTTTGCTGTGCGAAACTTTATTTCAAAAAGATTGGTTGTTAAATCTCCGAAAGTGGCATATACATATATACATTCATGTGAAATATTTGATTTGACACTAACCGAGCTACTTCCTGCCCTGCTTGTGCTGTGGATGTATGAGTCCTAAATAGTTGTGTTTTTTAATGGTGAGAAAGGATCGCGTAATTCGAAAAAATACAAAAGACCTTGTTCACGCACCTTTATGAGAGATAGATCGCCGTTAGCTTGCTTTACGATTTGAGATAATGGGTTTGAACTAGTGGAGCATTCTGCTCCCGTGACCATGCTTCGAAATGCCATCTTTATTATGTAGAAAGT